CAAAGACTCGATAGTGTACACCTCCATGACTTGTTTATGTGGGTGAACGCCCTCCTGAGCACAGGCAGACATGTGCATGTAGAGAGAGGTCAGATGCCAACCTCAGGTGGTTTTCCTCTAGACTCCTCCATCTTTATTCACGGAATCTCTCACTGGCCACAGAGATCCTGCTGTTCCTCTTCCCCCCAGCGCGGGAATTATACACACCAGCGCTCTTTAGCTTTCTTTACATGGGTTCTGGGGATCAAACTCAGGTTCTGGGGATTGCGTTTTACCAGTTGAACCAAATCCCCAGACCTCTGTGTGAAATTTTTTCTTTTTATTTCATTTGGAGACAAGATCTCAATCCTGGGCTAGCCTAGAACTTACTATGTAGCCCAGGCTAGCCTCAAAATCACCGAGATCCATTTGCCTCAGCCTCTGAGCTTGGTCCTCTCCATGATTTTTTTTTAAAAAAAGAGACTGAGTAACCCCTGAACTTCAGTCTTTGCCCCTGAGGGAAGAACTGGAGAAGGAGTCCCAGCGGCCTGGGCAGGGGCATCCCCAAGCTCCCCATTGGAATAAATATCCAAATCTTCCATCCAGACCACTTCATGTAGTGGTTTTTCTAGAGAAATGTGCTAAAACATCACAAAATGGAAAACACAAGCAGCCGCCTTCTATAGCTCTGATTTGGGGAAAAATCAAATTCCTTCGGGGAGAAAGTGCTCCTACCAAAACATTAAAATGAGCTGTGCCTGAGAGTGATGGAAAAATTCTGGAACTCAGCAAGTGGAGACTAAGGCAGAAGGATCAAGGGTTCCAAAATGAAATAGACAGAGATGGACTGGAGATGGCGCGGTGGTACAGGGCTGGCCCAACATGTGCAAATGGACAAGGTCCCGAGTTGGATAAACAGCACTAAAATCAAAAACATGGAAAGAAGAAAAAAAGGCAAAAAAAAAAAAAAAAAAAAAAAAAACCTTAAAATGGAAAGCTCTTCCAGACTCAAGAGTCTCTCATCTGCATCCACAGTCCAGCTCCTCCTCCAGGAAGTCCTCTCTGGCCAGTCATGTCACCTGGATGCTCTCGGTGCATCCTACCGTAACCACACAGCAAACGCCCCAGGTCTCCGTGTCTAGCCCCTGGACAGCTGGAAAGGCCAGCCCCATTCTCCAGTCCTGTCTTGTGGCTGCCCCACCCGGGCCCTGAAGTCTGTGGGTAAGCTCAAGGTCAGGGGCACATGGGAACTGAACAGCCGAGAGGCAGCAATGTTCTCCCTTCTCCACAACACCGCATCCTCAGCCGCTCCACTAATGTGGCATACAGGACCACGTGTGCTCCAGCCCACAGCTGCACAGCAAGCTGTCAAGTCAGCCAGGTTCACTAGGCCTCAGCCAAGAAAGGCAATGGTCCAGAAAGGTGGGGGAAAAAAAGAGAAATAATTATCTGGATTTGCCCGACTATGTAGGAAATAAAATGGGCTTTTTTTTTTTTTTTTTTTTTTTTTTTTTTTGAGGCTAGCCCAGTCTACATAGCAAGTTCCAAGCTCCAAGTAAGCCACAAATACATGGTCAGACTGTCTCAAAAAATAAAAATTAAAATAAGAGTTTATAATGGTGACTTCAAGCCTGTTGAGACAAAGCAGACTTGTCATTTTCTTGTAGAAAACTATTACAGAAGCCATCTTCTTTTCAACATGCTAATAACTTTTTACTGGCAATATGGTAATGTCATTTCACATAGTGTTCCCCTTCACTATCTGATTTGGAGTTTCACACTGGCCCTAGGAAACAGGGTACATCCAATTATCCCCCACCATGTAAAACACCCCCCCCTACAAGATAAAGGAACCAGAGCTCAGAAAAAAAAAAATGAAATGCCCACAGCAATAGAGCAGAAATACAGCCAGGAACAGCATCAAAGCCAAGAGTGAGCCTCAGCTCCCAGTTCAAGGTCCCCAGGGAGCCTTCCCCTCTCTTCACCTGTTTAATTGCTTAACTTGTTTCGGTGTGACTACTGGAAAGTATGGAATATTGAAAGCAGAATGTCTGGGACATCTTAGAAGCCGTGCTCTAGAGTTCCAGGACAGCATCGGGTTTGCAGCCTGGTCATTAGCGGCTGTGACGGAAGTCACAGCCCACAGCTGGGACAGATCTATCTTCCGGTTAGGGTGTCCCTTTCCTGCCCCTCTAGTCCTCATCATTCCCTTTCAGAAACTAAAATTCCTACCAGCTGACAGACAGAAAATAGCAATGACCAAATCCCGAAGTCAGCCAGCCGAACACACAGGAGAACAACTTCTCAAAGCCAAGGGCTGAGCCTAGTCAGAGATGATGCGGGCTCGCCACTCCGGGTGCCTTTTCCTCCTGGTGCACAGCATACACGGCCGACCCTGCTCTCTCTGAATGTAACTTTCGTCAAAGAGCCAGCCAGGGAACACCATGCTCTTCCATGCTCCTCCTTCACAAACAAAAGTGATCGTTGAGGATGTACCCTCTCAGGTACATCCTTGAGAGATCTATTCCAGAAAAGAGATAAAAAGCCAATCGAATATTTGTAAAGAGAATCATCCCCTGCCCCCAAGAAATAGGAATCTCCCCCCCCCCTTAAGATGCAGTTATGGCTGGCCTAGAACTCCCCATACAGACCAGGCAGGTCATGAATGGGGAGTAAACCTCTTGCCTGTCTCCTGAGTGTAGGATTGCAAGCACAGATTACCAACACTGACATAAGAAACATGATTCATGGTTGGCATGGTTGCTTGTCCGTTTGTTTTAAGATAGTTTGAACTCACTATGAAGAGAGGAACCTTTGACCCTCCCTCCTGATTCACAGATCCACACCCACACCCAGTTTATTGGGCACTGGAGATGCCCAGGGCTACCAGTGTGCAAGGCAGGCACTCTATCGACTGAGCTACATCTCCAGCCCAAAACACAATTTCTAGACTGCTTGGCCAAGCTACCACTGAGAAGCAACTTGCACATTAACATTTCAGAACTAGGCAATCGTTGTTCCAATCTTTACTTAACAATGGTACTTCTCCCTCTACACCCAAAATTTGATAAGGCATCTGTTAACAAAAATGTAAACAGCACAGAGCAGTTGGGAGCATTTGTTGCTCTTGCAGAGGACCCAAGTTTGGTTCCCAGCACCCACAGAGTGGTTCACAATAGCTTGTAACTAAGGTTCCAGGAATATGGTGCCCTCTTGTGGTATTCTTGGGCACCTACAGGCTCATAGCTCACAGACACATGAATAAAAATAAAAGTAAATTCTTTTAAAAAATGTAAATGCACTAAACAAGCTCCACTTTTATGGGAATCTGATATAGATCCTTCTTCCATTGTTTTGTCTTATTTTAACATTCTCAACCTTTTTTTTTTTTTTTCTCAGCCTAGCGCATGTGCAATAGGTTTACATGAGACCACAGAACCTGGGACTTGGACACAAATTGTTGAGGCTTTGACACTTTCCTGACTTCCACCTTGCAAGGAAACATGCACTGTGTGCTTGAATCCCGGTCTTGTCTTCATTTGCATAGGATACTAACTAAGCTGAGTCACTGCTATATATGAATCCTAAAAGATTTGCTGTCTGCATAGCACAAAGACCGACCTTAATTCAAGGCAGTAAAGGTCACATGGGACAGATAAACATTCCCTGGGCCTAGACTTCCAGGTGTTTTAGGTGTAACTCTTGAAACAGTATTATTCCACAAGTATGACACTAACAGCCAAAAAAAGGACCAAATTTGGCCAATGCTCTGAACAGATCTCCACGGTGGTTCCCATCCTACAAACGTTAAAAGTTTAGCCTTTTGTACCTCTCTATGAGACAACTGCAAGTTAAAGGCCAGCCCAGGAAGCAGAGCCAGTTCAGGGCAAGCTGTGACAACTTAGTGAGACACTGTCTCAAAATAAAAAGCAGTACAGGGAATACAGTCCTGCCCAGCATGTGCAATATCAGACCCTGGTTTCAAACCTGAGTACTTCAATCAATCAAAAAGCAATAAACTACTAAGCCTCAAGGTCTTGGCTAAGGGAATTGACAGCCCGGAGGTTTCCAAAGTCGTTAATTAGCAGCAGGGTATCTGCATCAGCTGGGCAAACACTGCGGGATTAGAGAACCGTCTGCACTGGCTGGTTAGGGTGGACTGTGGCATGACTAAACTCAGCTAGAGAAGCTAGGGAATCCTGTCCAAAAGGACGCTAAAATACGTCAGCAGAGAACAACCCCAAACAAATCCAACATTGGCTAGTTTAATCAGAAGACCTGAATCTTACAGTAAGTCACTTGATACAAAGCCTGGCTTAGCCGGGGAAATCCAGAAGCCCTGCCATGCCAACCTATGAAATGAAGCAGTGCATAGACAAGTTTGTATATATTTTTAAGAAAAGAATATATCGAGAGAGAGAGGCCAATACCGAATGAAGCTCTAGCACGCGAATCTGAGCATCTAGCTACCGCAGCCCAGCCTGGTGGTTCTTAAGTAAGCAGACCCTCGCTGATGCATTTCTGGAGCCCTGCGGGCAGCAGCTCTCACCCAGGGGCACTCGGCCTCAGCCCCAGCCCCAGCAAAGTCCTGACTTGGTCAGCTGCACTTCTCCAGGTGCAGGGTCTGGGAGCCAAAGGGTCCCAGCCAAAGGGGGCGAGGCCTGGAGGGGCGCGGATGAAAGGGGAGGTGAGGGAACCGAGACCTGTCCGGGAAATTCTGGTGCCCAGAAGGGTGCAGAGTCCGGCTGCAGGACCCAGCTGAATTCGGGCGTGACCGCCCCCGCACGGGACACCGGCGCTCTCTCTCTCTCTCTCTCTCTCTCTCTCTCTCTCTCTCTCTCTCTCTCTCTCTCTCTCTCTCTCTCTCTCTCTCTTCTCTACCCCCCCTCTCTCCCTCCCTCGGTCTTTCCAGAAGCAAGGGAAACGCTTCCGTCTCGAAAATGGAGATGGGTGGTGGGAACTGCGCGCCCCCCGCTGCAGCCGCCTCTCCCGCGGGAGCCACGTCCCGCAGCCCGGCTTACCTCGGCCCGCACCCCCGCTGGTGGCAGTGGAGTTCCCGCAACCCATCACGCCGCCCGCCCGCCCGCCCGCGGGGAAGCCGCGCTCTGGACCTCACCACCGCCGCCGCAGGTCCTGGAGGCGGAGACCCAGACGGAGGCGTCGCCAGGGACCAGGGACAGCCCTAGCCCCGCCCCGAGCGGGGACCCCCACGGACCCACCCGTCACCGCAGCAACCGAGGTGTCCACCAATCCGCAGCCTCCGGCGCGCTCGTCAGCCGGGCATTGGTGGTGGTTCAGAGGGGGCGGGAGTTTAAAGTGGGGTTTGGGGTACCAGGCCGAGGCCGAGGGCGTGGTCCGCAGCAAGATGACCAAGCTTGAGATGCTCACCAGCCTCTTTGCCTTCCCCTCTCTTTACACTCGTCCCCCTCTCTGTCCCCAGGATGTGAGGAGGAGAGGAAGAGACAAGGAACATCTGTCTAGTAAGGCTAAGGTTGACAGACTAAAAGATGTTCAGATCTGAAGACCAAAGCCTCTCTTGCTTTAGGAGGCGGTGGAGACAGCTCTGTCCCCATAACCTTATCACCTAGAAAACCCAGTCATCCCCCAACCCCAGGTTGGTCAGACTTGTGCCCTCCTCCAAACCAGTGTCTTCAGATCTGCAGCTAGAGTCTCACCGGCTTTCAGATTTAAGACAGAGCTACACATGTCCGTTCAACCTAACCGTTTGGCACGTGTGACTGCTCTGCCCGCTCACAGCTGTGTGGCTTCAGGAGCAAGATGGGGACACAGAATCACGGATGTGTGTAAACTACTGGCCTGTGCTCAGTCAACACCAGCTGCTATTATGGATCTTGGACTATTGAGCGGGAATGCAAATTCCTCCGTGTCTTACTGCCTTGGTTCACAGTGCAGAATTAATAAACTCATTGAGAAGTGAGCTCGAGCCAGGCAATGGCTCCATTTTAAACTTGCTTGGTATTTTTGGAGGTTGTGCCAAGCTCTTTGCTCAGTTCTGGGGTTACAAACATGAGGGGGACATTGTTCTCAGAAGGACGATTATAAACAAATTAGCCACAGGGATACCAACAGAGGGTCACAGGGAGGAAAGGCTTAAAAACTAAAGATGCCTGGGGATGCATATAGAGCCAAAGAAAGCTCAGGCAGACTTCTAAACACGGCCCTGGACTCAGGAACCCTATTATTCAGGATGTGAGAGATACTGCATCCTCCATTTGAAACTTAGGTGTCTGTGACCTTGCAATGAGATACTGTTTATTCTTGAACAAATTAGAGACACTTTTCAGTGGGCTTCTAGAAGAGCTATGTCTTACATTCTTTTCTGGTCATTGTGACAGAGTACTTGACAAGAAGCAACTTCAGAAGCGGAGGTTTTATTCTGGCTGAAGGTTAGAAAGGAATATGGTCCATTTTGTAGGGAAAGGGATGGGAGTTACAGGCCTTACAAGCAACAGCCTTTCTCAGCCAATTGGGCTTGACCCAGGGTCCTAAGGCACCGGACACTTACCATCACGATTAAAGATGCAGACTCTTATAAGAGTGAGAAGGTAAGCATCATTAAGAGATTTATGGAACAGTAACAAATTAAGGGAAAATGAGGCCGTCTCCCAAGATATATTTAGTAAAAAGGGAAAGTAAAAGTCTCAGTATTACAGATGGCCTGTGAGTGTCCGAAATGCTGTTCATTATTCTAAGGTCCCTTTGCCATCACAGCTACCGAGAAGCAGCAGCAGAGCTTGGCTGTGTTTTGTCCACCAGATGGTCTTGTAGAAGCTATCAGGCCAGTTTACCAGTGCTGGTCTCGTCTCTCATGGCTTGTCTGCCTTCCGTCTTATCAAGTCCTCTGGTCTGCCCTGTGCCTAGCTACAAGTGTCTTTGCCTCACCCTCGATGCATCCGGACTTTCTGTTCTAAACCTAGGATTCTATTTGAACTCTGACATCCATTCCCACTGCAACGTGTGTGAGTAACTTGGAGTTTGCAGCACAAACCCTTTTCTCTTCCGCCTACGGTGAACTCAACTCCTGCCTCAGGCGGCTGGTCTCACCGGGTCAGCAGAGAGCAGACAGGAAAAGAGGGTGGGCTGTAGGACACCTCAGGGCCACACCCAGCAAACCACTTCCTCCAGGAAGTTCCCACCTCATAAACATCCCGCAGCCTTCCAAACTAACACCCCCACTCGGGGAGCGATCCACCATGTACTGGTGTGCACCTTGGCCTCCTGTCTTGTTCAGTGACCACCCTAAACAAATCGTGCATTAGAGGGTGGTACACTCCCAGAGAGCCCAAAGAGTTGCTGCTCCTGAGGTCTGTTGTACCTGCCCTATATGATGGCACAGAGGAACAATACCACCCCAGGCTGCTCTAACCTGGAAGTAATCTGGTCCAAGGACTACCGATGGGACACTGCATGAACAGTGGTTAGAGAATGAGAGACGCCACACTTATATCATCTTAAGACAATATATGATTAAATTATCCTGACTTGGGCCTGGAGAGATGGTTCGGTAATTGAGAGCACTTGGTGTTCTTGCAGAGGACCCAGATTCACTTCCCAGCACACACATGGTCGCTCCCAACTATCCAACTCCAGTTCCAGGGGATCCGATGTCCTTTTGTGACCACTATGGGTGCCAGGCATGTACACGGTGCACATACATACATTCAGGCAAAGCGTTCATGTAAAGTAAAAATAAATACATGCTTTAAAATCTTTCAATGTTCTGTTTTATTATTGGTTACTGTTAAATTCTTACTGTGCTTAATTGTAAACACTTGTGTGCCTGTGTGTGTGTGTGTGTGTGTGTGTGTGTGTGTGTGTGCGATACATGAAAAGCATAGCCAAAAGAACTGTGCTTCCAGACATCTACAGGGAGTCTTTGTTGAGATAAACACAGATATGAGGACCACTGTCGTTAATTTTGAGGGGAGTTGTTTGAGACAGGGCCTCATGTAACCCAGGCTGCCCTCCAGTTCACTGTGTAGCCCAAGGATGACCTTGAACTTCTTCTGGTCTTCTCTAAGCTCTCAAGGGTTTGGATTGTAGGTTTCCTTCACCACGTCCAGCTCTTGCCGCCATCACAAACCCAATGCCATCTGTCCTTAACCAAATACTGCTCTCTCCGGGTTCAAAATCCCACACGGAGGCCCAACGGGACCCCTTCTGAGGTCAGGAAATGCTGGAGAACCAGGGGTGACTTAAACAGGACAATCTCCCCCAAACCCTTAAAAACATGTTCATTTGCTGAGCAGTGAGAAAGGAAGTTGCCCACATGGTGCATAATGTTGACTTAAGAATAATGACTCTGATAACTGTCATCTGAACACAAGAGGACTTTTGATCCCTCATTCAGACCAAGAACTCGAACCCAGAACCTCCTGCGACTGGTCCATCAGACCATATGAGTGCGTAGAGTGAGAAAGGAGAGTAAATGGTAGCACAGCCCCAGAAACAGAAGAAGTCCTTCCCTCAGCATTTCCTCCACGGTAGAGTGGCTCCCGGATGTAAATCTGATTAAATCGCCACTTCCTGTTCTCCTTCTCTCTCTCCAGCTCCCATCGCTCTTACGAGCAAAATGAAAGTGCCCAAGTGGGCGATAAGGCCCTTATCCATCTCTCCTCCTTCCATCTTCCCCGTCTTTCAGCTCCTTGTGCCTCCTGCCTGGAGAGCCTGTCCCTCTCCCCTGTGCATAACTCATTTCTGCTCGCACTTGAAGCTTCAGATAAACTTTGTCTCACCTTCCCAGTGACAGCCTTGAACCTGAGGGGGTACAGGTTCCTGTCAGTACGGGACTCTGTCTCTCCCAGTGGACAGAGGCCAGGCAGGCTCACCTCACTGCGGTCTCAATAGCACTTTGCTGAAGCAGGAGCTCAACAGCAACAGAGAGCCTCTGTCTGTCTGGCTCCAAGGCCAGCTTCTAGAGGAGATGAACCAGAAAAGAAATAATGCCAATGGTGACCCTAACCACCTTATTGGGATGAGTGCATGGAAGGTATCTGGCCACACATAGGGCTGAGATTGGAAACACAGGGTCAGAAGGCCCTCAGATAGTGATGGAGACATTTAAGGAGACACCTGAGGATTCCAGGAGTTACATCAGTGGTTCTCAGAGTTCCTTGGCTCTGTTTTAACAAAATGCACCCACCCAGCGACACACACCAGCAGAATCCAGGATGCAATTTTTGGACCCTGAGGAATGGAAAGGAGAGGAATCTGAAATGAGACCTAGAATTCTGACATGAGGTGCCTGGTGGGATTCCATTTCAATCCCACATGTCTAGACCGGTGTCTCCTTTGTCCACATAGTTTGCCATTTCAGAAAGCGAGAGAGAAGAGCAGAGACCCAAACAAGGCATGAGACCCCCTCACAAGGTGCCTATTCCCTCATATCTCCAGTCCCCACAAAGCACAAATATACCAGTGTGAAGCATATGCCTCAGTAACATTCAGCAAATCCTCAATGTTGTGCTACCAAAGCCACAATCTAATTCTAGAGCATGTCTACCCTCCCCACCAAAGGAAGCCTGACACCCACCAAGCAACCATGCCCCATCCCTCACCCTGCACGCACGAATCTGCCTTTCTATCTTGATGGATCTGCTTGTTCTGGGTGTTTCATACAAGAACTGATACTGGTTACATTTTACACTTGGGTCATGTAGAATGTTTACCCTATCAAAGCTTTATATTGTCAGTGACTCTTAGGGCAAACTCGGATCTGAAGTGAAAGGCTGTTTAGAGCCTCTGGGATTCTCTAACAGGAGAATAAAGGAGAGAAAGGAGGAATGATTTCTAGCAAGCAGTAGACAAACCCATTGCCTGGCACCTGCTCAGCACCACAGTGAAGGCTGAACACACTTGTAAAATATGATGTCATGTCCTTTTCTTGGAAGTAAATTACTTGGGAAATATCCTCATTCAGTTATGAGGAATTGGGAGCATTTTTGCTTGAGCATTGGATGCTCACAATATAATAGACATCCATTAGCCCATGTAAGTGGATAAACATGCCTGGTGACTGGAGGGACATCAAGCTATGACTCAAACCATGGACAGGAACAAACC